TGATTGAATTACAAAAGGCGGTGATAAGTGCTATGTTTTACAGCTTATATTATTCCATGATTGTGATAATGTATATTTTTCTTATATGTTTTCATAAATTCCACCGAGGTAAGTGGATGGTAAAGGTTTCATGTTAATAAACGAGTTTATTGTAAATTATGCTCCATTGGTCTTTTTGTGGTTTTCTACCCACCTTTATCTCCGTGACGGTGAGATATCGTGATGTTCTTACTGGGCTAGTGTAGCTCACTCCTTAATTAACCATTTCAGATCAGGAAGACATGGTTCCCGAGCCCGTTCCGCAGGAGGACAACGAAGGGGATGCCTAGAGACTCTGTAGTCATACGCATAGTTTATTTTCGAGTTTTCTTTCTTAGTTAGTTCAACCTTTTATATTTTAAGTTCGTTTTTTTTTTGGTTTTTTCGTGTAAGGGATGTTAACTGAAATTTTGATCTCGCTTCCGCATTCGATATATTTAAATACTCATTTCCTTTTTAATATTTTCCGGGGTCGTTACAATGTAGGGATTTTATTGAAAATAATTTTAAGAAAAATGGGTGAAAAATGAGGTTATGAGGGTATTTTTGAAAGAAAAATAAAAAACCAGAATGTCAAAATGCAATTTAGAAAAGTTGTGCCACGTTAACTGCCTGGTCAGCAGCCCCTGCCAACCAAAACGCGCCAAGTGGCAGAGACACTGACGCGGGAGGCCACCCAGGAGGGAGCCATGTACGCACGATCGAACGGCTGAGATCTGTTCCCGCGCGCACGGACGACCCAGATAAAAAATGTGCATGGATGGCCCAGATTGCATCGCGCACGGACGGTGCAGATTGAATCGTGCACGGACGGCCCAGATTTATTCCATATTTAATCGTTATCAGACGGTCCATATTAAAAGCGATGGACGGCTCAGATCAAAAGCGGATGTGTATAAATAACATCATCCGCACCCAAACCCTAACCCTACCCACCAGATCCCCTCGCCGGAGAAGATAGCCCATGCGCCATGGAGCCGACCATCGCCACCCGCCGCCATACCGGAGCAATTTTCAGCCGCCAAACGAAGTAAAAATTCTAGTATTTGTTCAGAATTTGATTCTAAACCCACCTATGGCCAAATTGGAGCGAAAGCACCGGCCAATTGGCCGAAAAATGCTGCTGAAGCTCAGCGGCGCCGTCGCAGGGTGTCTCATTTTTTGCATCCGATGAGACCCTTCCCGATTCCCGTTCGATGTGATTTTTCTATCGTTGTGATCGCCGTTTCCTCATCTATAGGTTGACCGGAGCAAAACACCCAATCGCGACGTGAGCCAGAGGAGACGCCGCACTGGAGATCCCCACCGCCGGTAAGTTTCAATTTTCTGTATTTTTTCGGCCCACCGAGGGCCCTAAGTGTGTTTTCTCACAGGAAACGATACAAGTTTGGCTGAATTTGACGGAAAACAGCCAACCCGATGTAGATCGCCGTCGCCGGAGCACGGCACAGCACGACGGAGCTGTCGTGCCGGAATTTCAAAATTGGCCGAGTAGGCCCTGCGTTTGATTTTTGGGTTATTTAGGACATGTGTAGGTACCATAAGCGTGTTTCAGTTCCCGAAAAAAATTCATGGAACCTAGGGATCGCCTGTAAGACCCCTCATTCTATTTTCTATTATGGAATTAAAATTTGAATAAATAGTAATATTGTATTTTGTGCAATTAATAGATATACATAATTAATTAAAGTTGCTAATAGAGCCCGAAATCAGACATTATTCCCTGTCGATTCCTAATTGATTTATTTTACAATTTAAATGCATTATGGTATTTGATCTATCTATTCTATGGTTTTAAATGTATGTATCACTGCTTACTTCACTATTATTTGATTTTGAAAATCTAAAATATGCTTGCTTTGTTGGATGCACGTTACTTATTTATGTATTCATGTTCGAGTTGGTAACGGAAACTAATGATAAATAGGAATGGGATGTGATTTGATAAATGGATAAAATGACAGGCTCACTAGATATTCTGGGAGATGGTGGACGAACCGAGTTCATAGGGAACTCTACTGTGAACGTTGTCTCATACCGGACGGGGTATGGAGACTTAGTCATTTGGCGCTCATACCGGACGGGGTATGGGGACGGCCCGCTTCACCCTCATACCGGATGGGGTATTGAGATTTATTATTTTGTTGCTCATACCGAACGGGGTATGGAGACGACCATGGAATTAAGATTGTTAACGGGAATGGTTCACGTGTAGCGGGGATCTTTATGGATCCCCATGGATACTAGTAGACTGGTAAAAATGAGAAACGGTGATAATCAGTTATTGTCAATGAATACAAATTTATGATGTATTTTATGTTACTGATTATGCATGAAATTGTGATCTGTGTGATGTTATTGTCTTTATAGGTTGTTTTCACAGGTTCTCTAAGAGTAAGAAAAAAGGTAAGTGGTTTTATTTTAAATAATTGTATTGGTTCAAAATTTGTACTTCATTGTTATTTTCGGTTTTCTACAAACTTTTACTTCTGTGATGGTGAGATAGTATGATGTCCTTACTGGAGTAGTGTAGCTCATTCATTATTTAACCATTTCAGATCAGGAGGATCTGGTTCCCGAGCTCGATCCACAAGAAGACGGCGAGTAGATGCTAGATACTTTAGAGTTTTTTTTTTATTTTTCTCATCTCTCATGTTTCTTTTAGAGAATTTATTACGTGATATTGTTTAGTACTTTTAAGTTATTGTGTAAGGGATGTTAATCTTAATCTTTTATTTCACTTCCGCACTCAGAATATTATATGTATTTCTTTTTAAATTTTTAGGGTCGTTACATCTTATCTTAAGGATACATAATTTAACTACCATTCAAATAAATCTACATAATTTTTATCATACTAAAAAGTTAATCTTATTAACATCTATAAAATTGATCATAATCTTTTAATATTAAAATATAATTTGTCATGTATACCTTTTAATATCATAACCTAACATTTTTCGCTTATGATGAAAAGAGAAAACTAAACCACGCAACCTAAAAGGAGAGGGATTCAGATGAGGGTGGAAAGAGAGTTTCAGGTTCCATCATCATTTCTCTTTTTTTTTTCCTCCATATACCTAATAGGTATTTTGCAATTAGGAGCTGAAAGAATTTAAAATAGTAATCTTGAGTTTTTAAAAGAAGAGGTTCAGATTCTTCGTTCTTCTTTTAAGTCGAGTGAGAGAATGAGGGAATCTACCCAATTTTAAGGGAAATAAGGGAAAAAAATGAGAAGGAAGAGTTTTTATGGTTTCTAAGACCAAATTCCTTTATTTTTCTTTCATATGGTATGAGGAACAAAAAAGTGAAGGAGAAGAAATTGAGAGTAGATAGAGGTGGCTTTGAGAGTGATTTGGGATAAGGCTCAAATTAAAAAAAAAAAAAAAATTGGTAGTTGGGTGGGGATTTAAGAGAGGATTTCTGAGCTTTCTTTTTTTTTCTTTACTTTATTTCTTTTCTTCTGTGAAATTGGGAGTGAAAGTAATTGAGGAAGTATGGAGAAATTGGCATTTTAAATACCATGATAATTGAGATCAACATGAGCTAAGAAAATGGTGTTTTAGACACCATGGCGACAAATTGGTTTATCTTTTTGGGTCACAAAACATAGCAAATCTTTTTTTTTTTTTTTCTTGGTTGTTTTGGTTAAAATTATAAGATGGAGTAAATGTTTTCGGAAAGATTTAAAATTTTTGGGGACAAAAATATAATAAAAGATAAAATATATTGTTAAGTAAATGTAACTACAAAAATAATCATAAATTATGTAAAACTGTATGTATATCAGAGGTAATAAAATATACCTAAATGTTAATGGTCCGAACTAAAATTAAATGCCGATTAATATAAAGTGTACGTACGTATTTGATCCAACCTTCCTCTCCACACATGGTGGTGTTAGGAGAAGGTGTAGTAGATTAGTGGACTTCTGAAGAATTGATGGGTAATAATTCAGGAATGGAGGGCATTTGTGTAATTTGAGAAAAGGTGTTGTCAATCAATGGAAAAAGGGTGAAGAAACAAAATCATGTTATTCCCTCATATTTTTAACCCAATAGCTTTATCCTGTCTGCATCAATCATCTCCCTTCTCTCTCTCTTTCACTTTCAACTTCTTTCTGATTCCATAAAACCCCTAAACAAGTTTTCTTATACTTACCCATTTACCATTTTACCTTGGCTAGCTTGTCTGTAGGATTAATGGTGGGTTGTCTAGGAGTTGCTTCCCCTTTTTCTGGAAAAATGAAATAAAATTCAGAAAAGCAAAGGGAACAAAAGCTTACCACCAGCATCATAAACCTTTCAAGATTTCTAGGATTGATCAAACAAAGTTTCAAAAGCAACCTCAAACCAAAAGAAAGGGACTACACCTCTCTCTTACTATTCCTTTCTCTCATCTTTTCTTGTCCTTTATATTACCATTCATCATCATCATCATCATCATCATCATCATCATCTTCTTCTTCTTCTTCTTCTTCTCCAACTCCCAGTTCTCTCTCATGGCTCTCATGGCTTAGTTTACTGAGTAGTAGTTGAGTTCCACGGGGGTGTAAAATCTAGCTGTAATCAAGCACTTTTGG